CATAAGAATAATGCATCTAAACCATCAGAGAGCTGAATAGATCTATTTTTGGCAAGAATCTTCAAGATATAACATTACTAAAACTTGTGAAGAGTATGGGTAAATTGGCATTCACGAAGCAACTTTACAACTTTACTTTATTTACGCTTGCTTGGAAGTTAACTTGAAAGTTTTAAGAAAGGTTGCTACATAACGAGGCATTGGGACAGAGTATTATTGACAAAAATCCAATTCCCGGAGATCTTTCGACTGTTACAAATAAACCCCGATCCTTTATTCTCGTGGATAATGCGTAGTATGGCGCATTTTTTGTATCCTAAAACAGATATGGAAAGAATGTATTCCGATTTGATGAACGATTAACATATTGCTCCGGGTTATCTTCGTGTGACCTAAATTTACACCAATGCTTTCATGGATTCAGAGAATAGAATCTTCTATCTATCTCTCTCACTGCATCCACGTGACATATGATTCAATAGAAGTATTTGCACAGAAGCTGAATAGTTCCCAATGGCACCTAAAGCAACGCATAGTTACCAATAAAGGTTGAACGTTGATTGTCATTGACAAAAGACTGCAAACAAAACAAGATGTTTCTGGATGAATGTGTTATCTATTTCTATTTTTATTGACAATAAGAATACTCCGGCAACCACGTTGAATTGGCCTGGACTTGGAGACCAGTTTTCCGTTCACATTCAAAGTCAGAATATGGATAAATATAGTAAAAGGCTCTGTGGAATACGAACAATTCCAATGGAACTGCCTGGGGATTTCTGTGTACAAAAGCGCATTAAACCCGTGGCAAATAAGAACATTTTGGAATAGAGTAAATCGACAACCGTGACAAAAGAAGACCGTTCTCAATATCGGGTGACTAATATCTCCCTGGATATGCCATTCGTTTGCGTTCCTTGACCCGCTCAAAGCTTCAATCCCCTAAAACACGGGTGACATGTAAGTATTTATTTTTGAATGATTTGACAGTTCCAAACTGGATGACTCGGTCTTTCGTTTTGTGGGTCCTCTAGTGGTCCACGTCATCTACTATTTTCATTATGTCCTTTGCCTACGTGTGGACTCCCAGGTCGGTCAATCTACCTGTTCATTTTTAATTGAATCTTGTAGTCAGATTTCACCACAACTGTCCATCAGTTCCCCGAATAAGATAAACTGTTCACATGTGTTTCGGTTAGTTGGCTGTGAATAAATATCCCCGCTTCTTAGTAGATTCTATCAAGGTACTTTGTCCTATTCATCTTTTTCGTGCCGTGTTCCTTACTTATCATTCCTTACAAATTTGCCAGTTGATTAGGATTTTAAAGGATCTTTCGAATTCCATCTATTGTTTGAATTTTATCAACAATTACCGCTTCCTTATTTGATTATGATGTCAATATGCAATGCTTATGATGAAATCAAAAGTAACGTGTTAGCAGTTTCTCAGGATTCACATTAGTCTACACATGTCACTAGTTATATGCATAGGTTGGAGCCTAATCTACCTATCTGATTAATTCTTTCTTGGTTACCCCGTCGGCTCACCGATAGCTGTGTGTTGTACTTTATTGGTCTATTCATTGTGTTGGTAAAAAGTGCGTGCAAATCTTGTAAATGGAATTGTAGAATTTGTGATCATTGTCTGACGTTTTGTTGAAAGTATTATTCAACAAAACCGTAAATCTGGAATTGTTTTGACCGTCTTTCGGTGGAATTTTGTTAGACACACAAAAAATGCCAGACTTAAGGGCAGACGCCTGAATTCACCCCTGATCACTTTACACTTTCTCCAGTATTATGCATACTGATAGTGATCTCTCGGTAGTTACAACTCCGATGTAAACTTTAATTTTACATTCAATGTCAAGCGTTGTGTGGAAATTTCACTCAACGTTTCATCCGTTGAATAACATTTAAAATTACCTCCGTCAATAAATTTAATCTCATTCTATTCATCCAAGAAACGAAACAATTAAGATTAATTAACTTTACAACACAAATCTGCTAATGCTCATTTCAATGATTATACGGAGAACTTGGTTAATTTATCTTACCCAATAGTGTTCACTTAGTGATCAGTAGGTCCTGATTCCCAAAACCGCCATTACACACCCTATCACTGTACTATTTCAACCAGTCTTAGCACGGCCGAGCCCCGGCTATTGACGTTGGATTTATAGATGTATACTGAATGAACAAAAACGAAGTAAAAAATGTGCATCTTATTAGCACTTATAATGATATTACTATTTCTTACTATATCATCTTACCGCTAGCATTCAATATTAATAAAGAAAATCGGTATTTTGGGAGAAAATCTCGACTGATAATTAGTTATCCGTAGGCAGACATTGGCCAAGAGTTATTTTATTTTATTTTTTAACATTCCTTGTTTATAACAATCTCCATTGAATATTTTCACGATTGCGATATTATGAATGTCATTGGTTGTTTAAGTGTATTTCAGTAAATCGGTGGTAATTCAATGAAACCAAGGTTTTTTATTCTGTCACATTTTCCAGATGAACTAACTATTGTACGAACGCATTGCCATCTTTATCGATCTAAATGCTGTGATTATAGCATCTCCTTTCAAAGTGGGTCAAATATGCCCGGAGATTCTGATGCAGATGGTTACAGATAAATCATTAAATTTGTGATATAGTTTTATGACAATGAAGGGGGCACTATATGTGCTACAGAAAATATTTAAAAAAAATCATTCCTGAGCAATGCAAAACAGAATATAGTTTCATGCAATCGACCACATGGCTGGTAGAGTCAGCCGCTTTTTGAAGATATCCCAAGGAATCTGCTTGGTTTTAAAACTAATTGAGCAAAATTATAAGTTTTCATTGAACTTTGATTTAATAAGTTCAAGATTGATGAATTATTTTCGGTGTCACAAACGTTAATGAAAGAATGACGTTTTCTCGCCAGAGGACGATTCATGTTTGTTCTACAGAAAGCTTAGCATACATACAATTCTTAAGTTCTCCTTATTCAGTTACAGTCAATTGATCTATATTGTGTTTGAAGCAAGTATTGTTGTTCAATGTTGCGTTTATTGGATGCCATTTGTGTACTAATTAGTTCGCATCAAAGAAAAGTAACCAATGCTAATTAGTAAAATAAAATCTCGTGTCTTTATTAACATTGAAAAATAAAAATATTTAAGCACTAAGTAAACCAATGATATTTGGGTACAAATGTTGACAGTCTAGACATGATAATTTATTGAAGTTTGCCATTCCAAGCACACAAAATAAATTAATCAATGAGCCATTTTTTCTCTTTGGGTCTTGTCTGTCTATCCAACCGTTTAGGCATGCAGTTCACTGAACTTATAAGGTCACATCTAGCTATGAAGTCTCCTTTTCTGTTCCTTGATCGTACCTTTCCATGCGAGACTGAATGTAAGTTAATCGACTCACTTTTGAAGTAACGAAACATGGCATTCACATCATATTGGTATTTGGACTGATGGATGATAATTGAGTGCGTGCGCATCTTACTCTGAATTCTGTTATATCGTCGGGATTCAGATGATTAATTCTTGTCGGCGAATTCATTTATTTAGTTTAACAATAGAACGCTACATGTGAAATATTCTACAGTTTTTTACGTAAACCGAAACGCAGTAAAACGGCCGTGAAAATATATTTTTATAACGGTTGGCGCCAATTTGACAGTACAATAGATCCTTTCTTATGCGTCGAATGAAGTGGCTGTTCTGAGTTCGATGCAGAAGGACTTTTGAGAAAAACGATCACCGCAATTCGCTTATTCGTACGATACCTTCTGCTTCAATTTTTTCCCGATCAACTATTAGTATCCGAACTGTGTAGATTAATCTGGAATAAGTAATCTTTTGAAAACGCATTGTGTAAACGTTTGAGATGCGTGTTTTTGATAGGGATTTTGTACCAAGAGAAATAGTCAGTAGCTGATGAGTAACCAAGTACAAGTGTAAATCGTCTGATATACGAAAACTAATGCATAAGTGTGATTAACTCGCTCATATTTCTCGAATGTAAAGCTGGCGGTACCCGAAAATTGTTTCACTGGCCACATCCTGTGGGATCATGTTCATCGAAGGCTAACTCCAGTTCGTGGACAGCTCTCATAAACCTCATGGGAGCTCAGCGGCGTTTGTGTTTGTTTTTGGGTTTCGAAACCAAATGTGAATATTCCGTTCCAGATTGAAAATGCTCAATTCTAGGCTACAAAGTTAACTTCCAAGTCTTATGTGTACAGTAATTTCATTTTTAACACCTCTTTTTTGTCGTAGACGGGTTTCCAGAAGCAACTTCCGTGTTTTGTTTCTCGTATGGGTCTAACCAATTTTCGCTTCATTTATTCCGGACCCTTCAAAGGCAGATTGTGTTGTTCCAAGGTGACCCAACTCACTGGACAACTGTTAGGTCCCTGCTGAGATTCATTAGCCTTACGATATATATGTTCCCACTGTCTCTGTCGTCTATCATGCAACTCAGCGGTTTCGAGTAGCGAACCCGAAATGTTTGTGGTTTGATTATCTACGGGGACGCAAATATAGTTGACACAGATGAAAGCGCTTCATGAGAATAATACAGCTAGCTGTTCAGAGTATTCTTTGTGTGATCCCAAACAACACTCTTCCCAAATGTGTCCGGAATGTGGATGATTAAGCGACTTGACAAAACGTCAGACACCAATTAGGGGCATCAGAACCCCAGCTTCTCTTTCTCCGCATTTTTGTCCAATAAAACCCAAAGACAAATGTTCAACAATCGTCAATTAAAACCACAATTGTAAACAACCGACGAAACTGATTGATCGAGATACACACATCTCAGGGTTGAGTGAAACAACAACGGATCATTTACAGTTCGCAACAGAATGAAAATCATTGAATCTTACAAATTTTGAAAATAATTTAATTGTGTTGTGCCTGAGAAAACCAACAGCATTGACTCATAGGCTCAGTTTGAATATATTTTTTTGAACAACTTCGAATGCTTAGAGCAACTTCAAAAGATGCGGATAAAAAGGAACTTAGTCAACATTACGGACTAACACTTGTGAAACAAAAGTCACTTCTCAGTTCCAAGCATTTATCCGCTTTGAAAGACTCAAAGGACAAGTCCGATTTGGATATTTTACACTCTGACAAAGGATTTGGGACTGTCCTGATGGACCTCTCAGATTACCAAAGAAAGGTGGAATGCATCTTCAATGACCCTAGCAAGCTTTTGTGAGAAAAAACATGATTAACCAATGAAGCTGAGGTGCAAAATCGCCTGGGAAGTTCATTTCTTTTTGGAGGGATATGTAATATATACGAACACCTCCCGGACTCTGAAGACTAGAGGAACTCAAATTCCACAACCTTATTATGGTCTGCCGAAACTCCAAAAGCCAGAAATGCCTTTCTGGTCAATCCTGTCCATGACGGACTCTGCAAAGCACAAAGTGGCCAAACGGCTGGTCATGGTGTTAGGACCGGTCGATCGATGGTGAAACATACCGTCAAAGACAGTTTTGAAGTGATTAAAGTTTTAGACAAGATAAGCCTGGAAGGAAAACACATGGCTACATTCGATGTCCAATCCCTATTTACTAATGTACCAGTTCGTGAAGTCATAAAATTCATTTGTGATCATATATAAAATGACCAAATCCAAGTGAATCTACCAGTCTCAATCCTTGAGTCTCTATTACTACTCTGCACAACCAATGTGTCTTTCACTTTTCAAGGATATGCGTACGGGCAAGTTGATGGTGGCGCTATGGGAAGCCCGCTAGGCCCAGTCCTGGCAGACTTGTTTATGGCACATTTCGATCAAAAGGAAATAACATTCTAGAGCGTGCCGTCCTTTACAAACGATACATCGACGACACCCTTGTTATAGCAGAAAGCCTAGAGGAAGCTACAGTAACTCTTGATGAACGTGACAGATTACATCAAAATACTCGGTTTACAACGGGATCCGAAGTCTAAAACACACTAAACTTCCTTGACATCAGCAGCAAGCGAAAAGGAGACGGAACAATGGGCCGATCCGTTTACCGGAAGGAAACCAAAGCAGGCCAATATTTACATTTCGAGAGCTTTATGACCCTGGAGTATGAATGTGGTCATTATGTTGGAAATCGTTGTTTGAATTGATCGTTTGTTTCACTGCATCAATTGTGTTTTTATGATTGGTCTGTATAAAACTTTAATTTTGCCCGCCGAACAATCTGATTGGTTCAGGGTTATATATGAACGCCTGTGATTCCCTTCCCAAATGTGATTCGTGTCCAGTGTACTAGAGAAAACATATCGAGAGCATTTCCTGAAGAACCGACTTTTTACAGTCATGTTCGGACGTTATTCGACAGAACGAGGCGGGTCTGCACGGAAGATAAAATTGAACAGAAACTCCAAACCTTCGGGAGATGTTAGCACAAAACGGCTTACCTCGAAGCGTTCATTAATAAACACGACAAACCAAGAATAGTAAAAGAAACGGTTGCCTCAGCTCCAAAATTACGGATCACATTTTGCCTCCAATTCAAAGGTGCTGATGTAATCTGTTGCAAACTATACGCTAGGCTACAAAGTAATTAGAATTCTGCTGTTTAGGGAGAACATAACCTCAATGAAGTTCCAATTACTATATAGCCGAGGGCATAGTTTTATCCATCCCATGCAATAATTCATGATCACATTCATACTTTGGCCTATTTTTGGCACTTAAAGGCATAAAAGCATGACACTGACTGTTGAATATGAAGTGAGAAGTTCCAGTGAATAAGACCATCTACTCAGTTACTGATCACTGGTATTCGACACCGTGCACGCCCTAAGTTTCGTGAAAAATGTGCAGTGAAGTTGTTTTCATCAATCCACATCATCTCATGTCCAACGTCCTAATAATCTGTCGGTGCTATATACCAGATGATTCACTAAGGCAGGAACAAGCTGTTTATCTTTACTGGTATTTGATGCAGCTTTTTGATTGTAATCAGTTTTTCCTCTTAGTGGTTGTTTATAGTGGCGATGGAAATTTCTTTATCGAAATCTGCTTCGAGTTTCAATCGTAGAATTGACGGTGTTACAGCCAAATTCTCATAGGGCACGACCAAGGTTGACTCGGTTGCCACCTCAATGAGACCAAATAAATTCGATTGATTTCTCTTTCAGATTGTGTAGGTAGAACATAAGAAAAAGAAACAGTCACATGGGACTGTGGTGGCAATAATAGTCTGTTAGTTTATTATAAGGCAACAGTGTTAAAGGTCGACCGTTCTGTTTGGAACATTAGCTGTTTATTAAAAAACGCTCACAGTTTGCAGTCATTGCAAGATGGACCATCAGAACGACGATGAAACAGATTCATCAGTGAAAAAATTTACGAGGAGTTTTCTACAAGTCGGATTGGTTCAGAGTGGAATAAATATGTTGAGGGATACGCCAGTGACTACGGAAGGGTTGAGTAATAATGTAAAAATACTCCTTCAATTTATGAGCTCAGCTCAGTTCTGTGAAGAACAAATGCCACTGCTTTCCACATTTGTGGTGGATGGCTCGTTTACACAATCTTTCGTGGTACTACCTATCCGGGAAATACGTTTCAAACTGGTATCCGCGGTGCCAGTGGACCTTTCTTCTTATCTGACACTGAGCGGATGCCACTTTACGACATATTTCCTGGATTATCCATGAATTAGACAGTAGAGGTAACCCTTCCTCACGCATAAGAAAGTCGACAATCAATATTAAGACATCCGTGAGTAGAATATTATACCGGCCTCTACTTAATACCCCATGGAGCACCCGACAAAGAGTTACCATCGCTGATGGGATCACGGATAACTGTAACTCATTATTATCACCTGTCTTACTCACAAAACTATAAATGATCGCACAGATGTAATCAGTATGTGAAAAGATGTGACGGGTTGATCACTGATACAATAAAGATAAGAACATATGCTATGCAGCTGAGTACCTGCAGGTAACAGATTGTTACCAGTAGCATTGCGGATTGAAGGTATTTATCAGCCAGGGAATGAAAGAACAAAGTATGATTCTGTTAGCTATTCAATAAGTTCGAATTTGATCTTACTATTCAGGTGAAATACTGCTAATTCTTTCATTGTATCCTTGTACCACTGTTAAGTGTTTTATCAGGTGTTCATTTGAATGACAGAAATAACCGATTGCAGTTGGTTCGAATGAATCGGTTTTATGCTGGAGAAACTTGACCTCAATGGAATTTACTCATTGACTTATTGAGGATCTAGAATGACGTCATTCATACAATGAATCATGCGCACATTCACGTTTGGGCACGATGAACGACTTATCGATCCATTTTGACGTTATTCGCTTCCTTATCCGACCGACAGAGGTCAATTAATGCCGGTTTCTTTCTTTCACAGCTATGGTGCACACTCGATCAATAATCACGAACATAAAGTTTCCGGGTAGGGTGGTTTGGGAAAAGAACGGTCAACCTCACCCCACCGAAAGTTTCATCCTCGCTCGGTAATTCACTGAAAGTACTTTGATCATGGAGAAATAAGTTCATAGGGGCTGAACGGGTTTGAACAGACCGGTTCAACGGGTGACGTTGGACGGTCAAAACACCAATGATCTTCTGGGTTTCCCAGCAGAATGCGATTGGTTGGATTCAATTGAAGTTGAAAAGGTGTAGAATATCCACATTTCCGGGTAAAAGAACGTCTGCCGACTCTAATTTGATCTTTCAATTCCAATTTGGGGGCCAAGCGACCTACGTGGGCAGAACAGAGCTACCATTGCGCAATCTGGATAACTGAACATATTTGAAATGGGGTCCGAAGTCAGAAGACGCAATCAGGGTCAAGTCTGCGGTATAGAAATAACGGTTGAAACCACCAGACTCCGTCATCAGCCATAGCTTGATATTTGATGATGCAGTACCAAATCGGCCGAAACTCAACGTTTTGGATTGTCTACAAGTCACGAATCGCAAGTTTGCTTAGGTCAGCAGAAACGATTGATATCAGCCGATGGAAGCCCACCTTGTGTCAACAAAAAAGAACTTAATGTTAGTTTATCCTCACCCCGGTAACATAGCCCTTTTAACCCTCCCTTCTTCCATGTTTGTTTGTTTTGTTGCATTTTATTTTTCCTTCTTTCCAGGCTACATTTCTATACCCAATATTTTCTTTTCTATAATATGCACGATGTTGAGATACAGTGAAATTGTTATAGACATATATCGTGCAATTTTGTGACGTGGTCTGTTCTTTTGAAGGCGTTTTTGATGTTGACAACACGTGTTTTTGTGGCCCAAAGTTTCAGGAAATAGAAGCGCGTTTATGCTTGTTAAACATTTATCAAAGAATAGTCAACGGTAGGCTAAGATCAGCTCCTTCTATCCTTGTTAGACGGTTATCATCTATCCCGTATTATAAGGAAAATAAGACCATTATTTTAAATTAATTTTGCCAACTGCTAAATGAATTTACAACTGTTCTCTATTCTTTTCACCGTTCTCACTCAGCAGAATTATTCCAAAACATAAGAGCTTTGGTTGTAAATTTGGAGATACCATCACCATGGTTACAAATGTGTTCATTTTATTTTTTAATCCCATGGGTGGCCATTTGAAATGAAACCAGCTGTAGTGATCGGCGCAGACCAGTTGATTGACTCAGAATTTGTATTTTTTGCTGTTGTGAATAAATATCGGAATCAGGTGGTATTTATTTTTGCCTGTTTGAATATGTTACATAAAATGATCAAGTATTATTTCATTTGTGTAAAAGATTTTTCAAATATCTCGCGGCACTGGACAACATCGTGAAACCTATTCTAATTTATAAATGTGGTACTACAGTAAAAATTGTCGCACATGATGACTATTGAAGTCAATTAGAGCCTATCTCCTAAGAAGGTGAACAACACTGCACATTGGGTCAGAAAGACAACACTCATAAAATGACAAAACATCCATTCATTCATTCCACTTGGATTCTCAGCCAGTTGACCGTACTAAAACGTGTCACAAAGATCAAATTTGGTATGCTGAAGATAAAACTGCATAATATTCAGAAAAATTAGAAACATTTTCCGATATCCAACGAGAAAGGGTTAATTTGTGTTACCTTGTTAACTGCGTGGTGTGTTTTAACCAAGCAATTCCGGCTACTGTTTGCGAGATTTTAGATTCTTAAAAAATGAAACGCTTCTTTCTAGATGAAAAAAACATAAACCGCTTGG